ATACACGCAGGGTATTGACATCGTTGCAAGTAAAGAATGAGGGTTGCTAAAAAAACTTCTCGACCATCCAGAGGGAGAAAAAAATTACATACTGTCTTCAATAAATCGAATCAGCATTCAGTATGGCACGTTGAACTCTTCGAGATGCAAATGAACTGCCAGTCTTTGACGGCTGTATCTACTCATGACTGTACAATAGAGAATTGTTACAGTTTAATCTACTTTTAAAGATTAAATCTACCGTTTGAAATCGCAAGGATATCTCGATTTATCAATTCATTACTTTTACAGTTAATGCAATTGAGTAGATAACATACATTTTCTTATTGATAACTTGGTAGAAAAATATAGAGTAGAACATGCCATGTTGCATTCAAATATCAAAAGACATTTATGAATCAACGTTGCACATTTGAACATATTGTTGCAAAAGAAACAAACATAGGCGGAAATTAATTAAACAAGAATATTTCACTGCCTAAATTAATGTTCGTTACATTTAATGTGGCGTCAATTTTATCGGTAAATTTACTCGACAATTCTGCTCACAATTATTTGCTGCTCTAAGTTATGATGAAGGTTTACTTCATCATTATTATACATTCAAGAGAATTATATTGTGTATATATAGGGCATTTAAGTGAGTCATAGATACTCGAACTTTGAACTTTTTAAATTCAACAATATTTTAGCCCATTTCATCTCATATTGAATGTTGAAGGTTTAACGGTTGAAGGGCAGAAATTCTTTATAATCGTGACGAAATGACATATTAGTCAAATCTCAAACGAGTATGGTAACAGGAAATCGTAATGCACGGTGAATAGTTATTTAGACGTCAAATGTAAATTACATTTTATTCGATTGCGCGTCACATCACTTACGCGTTTGGTTACACATTGTAGCGTCGATGAGTATATATGTGGACATAATGGCTGAATATGTATATACAGGTTCATATAATCATTAAAATTGACCCTGTTTGAACTTTTACGAGACGTTAATATAGTTCACATCAATAAAAGGTCTAGTTCATAATTATAGCTCTGGTAACATCAATGCACGCTTTATCAATGCATATAATCATCATGTATTCCTTCTTATACGCACGCATTTTACAATAGATACATTCGTCAATGTACATATTTATCAATGCTGAAACCCGTCGGCACGCGTTTAGGTCAATACACTCTGAGCGAATGCCATTGAACCAGTCGTTCAAAGACGCTAGTGCTTTTTTCACAGCCTTCACGTATGTTCACGTGTTGCGCGATGTACTTTTAAAACACTATTCTCTAGGATATATTTGTACATGCGTTATATAGTTATATGTGTCTGCAACATCTTTGATACTCAAAGCGAAATTCAATTTAAATAATACGGGTATATATTGGTCAGAATTATTATTAAAAATCTAACCTCCCGATTTGCTTATCATTATGCTACAATGGATTCTCTTAATAAGCTTCATTTATTTATGCTACGGGTTCGGATTTTAATCAGAGTCTTGAAACTCGTTTAGGTTCACAGCACATTGTAAAACTTGAAGATTCGTTTAAGTTACCTCACGCAAGAGTTATTTCATTATATGACATGGTAAAATATTACAGTATGTCGCGAATATGCTACATCCACCATAATCAATTCGATAACTGCCATTGCGGACAACTGGTAAAATTATAGAATTACTCTACTTACGAACCTCTGGCTTTTCAACCCGTACAAACCACGTAAATCAACTCAAGATGCCTTTCTTGTGGCTCGAGGATTTTTCAGTAGTGACATTCGACTTTTGCTGATAAATATTGCATGAGTAGAATTAATTCATTTAAAAACAGCGTAAGGACGATATTTCATTAAAGATTCACTTGTGACATAACAACAAAATGAACATTTGCAACGTTCATTAAAAGCTTTGGTAATGAGCAATCACGAGCGCAATTAAATGAACCCTTAGTTCAGAAGCTAACGTCATTGACGTAAGTTTAAGTTGCTTCTACTTAATGCGATCTCGGAACTCAATTCAGAAACTCGCCTAGACGATAATTCAAAGTCAACCCGTTCGTTAATTCTTAACCAACGTTTGTGAGCCATGTTGACCCCAAAAAAACATCAAAGCTCATCTCTAATACCCCAAAAAATCTTCACATTATTAATATTCACAATAAGCTAGATAAATTGGTACACGTACATTTCATTACGGTTTTTGTCAAGCCATTTAATTGACGACTTCTAGCATTATGCTTTTAAAGAGTGAATATCTAAATCAAATTATGGGAGACCACAGTATTTCAATTTACAGGATTAATATATAATCACATGTGTATAATTACAGCTATTCATTCATTGGTAGGATGTTCATTTTTGTGAGAACGGCGTCGTTAGACTTAGGATTTCTAACCTCACAGGATGTAAATTTTTTTTTTTTGGCTCGTGCTACTATGAGTCAATGACCTTTTTGCTTTAGAACGTTCTACATCAGTTCATAATTTAATTACATCGACAGGAAACATTTATCCCGGTGAGCTTGGGCACGCTTACCGAGGTACACACGCTGCCGCCCAATGCACCGTGGTACACAAACTTCCATTCTAAGTAAAAAAATCAGTCTCTGACTTTTATCGCTCGTCATGTGTATTTGCACATGAACATTGCTACGTGTTATAAATACAACATCGTACAAAAAAAAAAAAAATAGATTCAAGTCTATTGAGCGTTTAATTTTAGCAAAATTATTAGTTAAATGGTCATTTGCTACATTAATTATGCGGGAAAGGTTTGATACCTTGCCGAGACTCATCTAATATTCGCGAATCATAAGCACTGCTACCTGTGGATGTACAACAGTATTATAAATACGATTACTCAACTTTCAGTCCGGCGACCCTATTAGATGCCTTGACAGTTTCTGTTGTTTATACCGTCTCTTCCTTTCACATGCTCATCTTGCACAGCATGTTGTTGAACTCAATTTGCGGTGCTGTATGCGTTCACCCGCTGTAGCTGTTGTAGAAATGTTGCTCTATATGATGTAAAGTTTTAGCTTTTTGTTGTTGATTCCTTTGCTGACTGCCATCGACAGTCGCTGCCATCTTCGCTGCCACCTTCTTACAACACCGCTGGCTTGTTGTAGGACGCTTAATTTGCATAGGCGCCCTCAGCTGATGCCGGCCCTTGTAGTCGCTCTCGTAGACGCTCTTGTAGACGCTCTCGTGGACGTTCTCGTAGACGCTCTCGTAGACGCTCTCGTAGACGTTCTCGTAGACACTCTCGTAGACGCTCTTGGCTCTGCATGTTGTACTGAGAACGCAAAAAAATGCGTGGACGCTTCAAATTACTCTGCGTCAGTTGTAGGCTTGAAAGTCTTGACGTTGCAGGTTAACTAAGACGCGCCAGACAAAACATGAATATTCTCATCGTTTTCGGCTGCAGAAATTAGTAGATGAAGGTCTTCTTGGTCTCTTCTTCAGACGTTTAAATGAGTTAAACATCGCAGAAACAATCCGTTGAAAGGCTTGGTCGCACGAAAAGCACTATGCGACAGTGTTGCTATAATCACAAACACTTAAAAGTCTTTCACTTCACCACCGTATTTAAAGTCTCACAATTATAGTCAAGCAATCGAATTTCACTTTTTAAGAAAACACGATTGTTATCACTTAGTTCGGGCGCCAATTTGTCCGATAGACACTGGTATGAGAGATTTGGTATGGCACCACATGACTGATTAGAGAGATTATCTCTATACGGGGTGGTATTATGCGAGAGTTATAATAGATATAAGCGAGTGACGGCCGGTTAAGCCGGAGCGACTCAAGCTACACGCTACACCGCGGAGTGCTTACCAGCTACTGGGGGGCTCTGCTTAAGGTTGCTAGCCCTTTTATAAGCTTCGCTTCCGCCCACTACTGAGGTCTTGATCGCGTGATCTATCACGTGTCTATCAGGTGTTGACTCGTGGACTCAATAGCTAACTAGGTCTGTTGGTAAACACATTAGGACTTGTTTCCGCGTCCTACTCTCGGACATTTGTCATATCTGCAGTTTAGATATGGATAATTATTAACTAAATACAAGAAGATTATTCCTCAATAGCTGAACTTCTTATACTTTTATATACTTTTTACGATATTTAGTGACATTTTTCATTAAAAGTTTGTCATTTTTGGAGTTTAGATACAGATATTTATTAACTAAATACAAAAAGAATATTCTTCAATATTATCGAATTGTTTAACACGTACGAAGATATTAATCCTTTACTGTGATTGATTCGTGTTTTATTTTAGTAATGTTAGTAAACACGGTTATGTTTGTAACACGTAACTCGTAGTATTCTGCCATTATAATGCAGTTGGGTTTGTGTGTGGATTACATTACATGTATACGTAATCAGGCACTCATTTATGAAGACGTTCAATTATCGACTCAAGACAAGCGACGACAGTCTTAACAGATTGTTTACAGTTACAGGGATTATTACAGCCACAGTTACAGGGATTATTTAAGTACATTTGCATCCAATCAGCTCAGTTCCAGGTTAGAAATATTTTTGACTGTGAAATTTCTATCCTCAAACATTCCCTGTGAATCATTTTCTACCCTCTACTCGGCTCCATTATCCATTATCCATTAATTATTTATAAATAACGAAATGATGATCTTGTTGGGAAGCGCAATTTCGCAGTAAATAATTTTTTAATCCTGATGCTCATCACAAATTTTATGCTACCAAACTTTGCTAAGCCCATAATATTCACGTGCCAAATTGAGTTCTATTGTATTATATAGAACTCAATTTAGCACGTGTATAAACTGTATTATTTTTGTTGCTCATTCACGCCTATATAAACACAATTTTTTGCTTGTGAAAGCTTTACATTCTATTACCACTGATATTCTCTTCTATGTGTTGCGCAGGAGGCGTAGCTGACAAGGGTAGCCGTGGGGGCGTTAGGACCACGTCGGGTAGCGCAGTGCGTAACCCTCAGGGTGAGTGTCTAGAGCCGCTGGTACTGGGGGAGTTGCAGCTCTCGTTGCAGCGCAACTCACCCACTCCTAGCGAGGGGCACGCGGTTTCTCTTCCTTCTCAACCGCATCTTTCTTCTCACCCGCATCTTAGCCGCAGTAAACGAACTAGCGGAGGCCATCAGCCACTCAGCGGAAGTCCCGTAAAGGACTACGCTGACTCGGGTACCGAATCAGGCGATGAAGCGAGTAAGAAACAAGGCGAACTTTCAAGTTTTATGCAAAGTTTAAGGTCAACCATGGCCGAGAAAAAGAAGGATGAGGTTGATGTAGTTGGTGATCGTGAATCGGGTGAGTTCGGGGCTGATTTCATGCTCGAGGTGAACTCTGTGCTTGACAAACTCAAGAATAAGTTAGCGAAGTCGAAGAGTCAATCGTTTTTGGGTGAAGAAAACGTGCCAGACAGCGACGAGTTGGTGTCTCTGATCGGCCGTCTGCAGAGTTCGCTAGGGGACGTTTTGGCAGAACAAGATGGCGACGGTGAACAGCAGGATATTGGCGATGCTCAGTTTGCATCGACGGAAGCAAATGATAAAGAAGTTAGAGATCAGGAAGAAAATGGAGAAGAAAAAGATGATGTTGATGTTGATGAGAGTAGTGATGAAGAAGTAGAGGGTAGAAATAATATTGGTCTCGATCTACAGCGCTCTGAGTCGGGTTTGTATCAGTCATCGTCATTCGGTTCATCAGCAGGTGGCAGTCCAGGAGTGGTGACGGCTGGTCTTCAGTTTTCCGTTGACTTGAACAAAGCTAAAGGCAAAGTATTGGCTGTGGATCAGACTCAACACGGACGCCGCATTACCGACAGCGGCGTTGTTCTTTGTGATGACGTTGTTGGGGAAGTTGATCAGCGTCAGAACTGCCGTAGTGAGGCGCGTTCACTTCTCGGTAAGGCTATTGGACGATGCAAGTCACGGGAAGAGCTCGTCAAACAACTGGAGGACGAATGCTCCGAAGTCGAAGGTCAGGTTAACAGTTCCGAGGAGCTGCTTGCCTTTGCCGAGTCTCCTGTTAACATAATGGAAAGAAATGATGAGGAGTTCCTGAAGAAAAAAGACCAAAAAGATCTTCCTTGGAAAATTAGGCTTGCAAAGAAAAAATTGGAGCGAAAACCAGCTCAAGATTCAAGCATAATTCTGAACAAACTCGTAGCGCCATCGTCCCATATCTTGCAGCGGCAACAGTTGTTCAAGGAGGTTACGAACACGAGTCCCAAGCCTTACAAAGCTCCCTTCTTCAGCCAGTCGATGTCACTTGGCAACGTGTCTCAGATGAAGCAAACTTGGCAGTCTACGATTCAATCCAATCAACCCAAGTACGTTGGTTTTTTCAACCGACCCGTCTACTCACGGTCCACTGATGCCTTCAAGCCCCAGGCTTTAAATATCGCTAAGACTTTCTCTGCTGGAACCCTGAGCCCTCTAAGCCCCATGAAGCCCAAGACTCCTGTCAGCGCTATAAATGACAGCGAAGACTCCGATGACGACGATGAAGGTGAAATGTTTTCCTTCAAGTCATCCCTGTCAGAAGGTCAATTGTCCAGCAAGCAGAGAGTCATGCCTGGGAAAACCAGCGATCAAGAATGCTATCAAGTCACTCGTCCTTCCAAAGCTTCAATGAAGGAAAAGCAGTATGAAGAGAGTGCCAAAATTTTCCCGGAATCTGGATTGACTAATTTTTATACAGCGTCACTGGAACCTTGTTCTGATCATCCAACTGAAGCAGATCATGCTCTGGTTTTGCGACGTCCCACAACCCTCGCTATCAAGCCAACAGTGCCGGACTGCCGCCCTGATGAAGATGCACCTCCTTTGCCGCTTCGAGGGGAGTGTCCTTTGCCACCTCCTCGACCTGAACCCATAACTGCGTCTAAGGGCTCAAAGCTTCCGTACGCCGAGCCCTCCAGCACCCTCAACTCCCTAAGCCGCTCCAAGTCAACCCCTAGTGCCAGCAATCTCGCTGCGGGAGACAATGGCTCCACTGACATGTCGCAGGGAACTATAAAAACCAAAGAGGTCAAAGAAACTACAGAGACAGCTCGTGTGAACACCGTCAGTCAAATTCAGAGTCAGCTTGAGGGTAGGATGTCAGAAAAATCATCTTCTCGTAGTATTTCTCCTCATGGACAGAAATTTAAATGCACAGGTAAGAGTAGCATCGCTGACTTCGTGAAGAAGATGGACAGCCAAGTGCAGGAGAGAAGCAAGAGGTCTCGCCCTAAGTCCGCCATCTGGAGCGACTCGATGACTCGTTCCGACTCATCAGCACAAGACTGGAGGAAGGAACTCATCACACCTGGGCTTGCTGCACAAATCCCCGTCGATGACAAACCGACAGCTGTCAAATCTGACGCTCTCAAAGTCGCTATCAAGAAAGCGGCTTTGAAAAAACAAACGAGTGAAAACGCCGAAAGTACTCGACTCGCTGATGCATCTACCAAGCCCCAAATAAGACGTCTTCACACCGTGAGTGGGGCACAAAATCAAGACACGGTCTTCCATGCTCCAGTTGAAGGCAAGACTTTCCACTCACTAGCTCCGCTGAGGCTGGAAACGGGAGATGGCGCTGTCCCGACACAGGAAGTTCAAGAATCCAACAATGGTCACAGTGAGGACAGCACTCCGAGTCTCGAGCTGCAGGAAGAACCTCTGCCTGTGTTCGGGTACATGCCCGCTGAGGACGAGTTGCAGCGGCTGGCTCAGGAAGAACAGCTACATGGTTTGGAACAGCAAAAAATTGAAGAATTTAAGCAACTGGAAAGAGCGGTGATCAACAAGCAACAACAGTTGCAACAACAGCAGGAACTTGAAAAACAAAAAATTAAAAAGCAGAAAGAGCTGCAATGGAAAGAACTAGAAAAACAAGCCGCATTAAGAAAACAAGAAGAGTTGAAACTGGAAGAAGTCAGGAAACTTGAGCAGAAGCAACAAGAAGAAGCAATGAAGCAAGAAAATGCTCGAAAAGAAGCTGAGCAGAAAATGCTGGCTGAAGCGAAAAGACAGGAGAAAGCGAAAAAGCTGGAAGAGATTAAGAAACAGGAAGAAGCGAAAAAGCTGGAAGAGATAAAGAAAGCGGAAGAAGCGAAAAAGCTGCAAGAGATTAAGAAACAGGAAGAAGCGAAAAAGCTGCAAGAGATTAAGAAACAGGAAGAAGCGAAAAAGCTGGAAGAGATAAAGAAACAGGAAGAAGCGAAAAAGCTGGAAGAGATTAAAAAACAGGAAGAAGCGAAAAAGCTGCAAGAGATTAAGAAACAGGAAGAAGCGAAAAAGCTGGAAGAGATTAAGAAACAGGAAGAAGCGAAAAAGCTGGAAGAGATTAAAAAACAGGAAGAAGCGAAAAAGCTGGAAGAGATAAAGAAACAGGAAGAATTAAAGAAGCTAGAAGAGGCTAAGAGGCAGGCTAAACGTGCCGAAGCAAAAAAACGGGCAGAAGAAAAAGCAAAGGATGAAGCTAAAATACGTGAAAAAGCAGAGAAAGAAGAACAAACAAAGAAAAATGCTGAACAGAAGCAAAAGGAGCAAACTAATACAGACATGAAGCTACTGGAACTGAAACAAGAGACCAAATCAAAAGAACAAGAGAAAAATACTATAGTGGAGGACCGAAATTTATTGAAGCGGCAAGAGAACTTGAAACATCAACAGAAGCAGGAGCATCAGCAAAAATACCCACAGTCACGGATGACGCAGCACAAACATCAACAAGAGCAGCAATATTCAGATTCATCACAAGAAAAATCAACAACAACAAACGAGTCGCGGTCGCCGCCCGCGGCAGATCAAAAAGCCGTTGTTTCTTGCTCTGCGTCATTTTCTGGTGATTCTTGTGATGAACAAAGCACCTGGCAGTGCAGTATGCCCACGGAGTCACAAAAACATGAGCACTCGGTGCCAGCTGGCAGCAGCCAACTTGTACAGCGTGCTGAGTCTGCTGCACAAGAAAGCACCTTTAGTAGTACTCCTGTTACGTCGCCGATAGCACATAGCTACACCTCTGATAATGAGGAGAAAATGTGGCGTCCTGTGAGTGCCCCCTTCAAGGAAAGGCCTCCTCTGAGTACTCTTCGTCAGAATAGCGTTGAGGCGGCAAGTTTGGTCAGTTCTCTTGTAAACCGCCAGCAATCACGAGAAGACCTCGTAAGACGAGCTAGTCTTTCCAGTTCTGAAAGAAACGGCAGTCAGAGTTCCATTGGTACCTTTGTAAATGCTCAAGATGATGGATATTTTGGCGATTATGAGACTGAAATTAATGACGATGACGTTTTTGTTGGTGATTCTCGACAAGTATCTGGAACTGCTGCGTCCGCAGCCAAGAACTTCCAGCTTCCTTTTAGTAATGTTGAACAGCAATCAAGTGCCGTAAGCTCTGCTCCTGTTTGGAGTAGAACGATAAAATCAATATCAAATGTAGTGCCTGCCCCCGAAGACCCTAAGCCCATCCCTGTGACGAAAAAAGTGGAGACCGTCAAGACTTTCCGCCAGCGCCACGCATCATTGGATGGGAGATCCTCTGCCGCAAGTCGTACTGCATTTAGTAAATGTGCGTCGCAAAGTCCTGAGCTGCCTCGCAAGGTGATGTCGTTTGGTCCAGTGGCCTTCGCTCCACAAGTAACTCAGAGTTCGTCTAAGGCAGCTGCAGAGATTTCGAGCGAACGTCATCCTCGCAGTCAGTTCAAAAAATCCTTTGAAAATGTCCCTCCTCCAAATGCAGCCATCCATCAACCTATCAAGACCAAAAGTGCCTCTGTGTCAGAAGTTCAAGGCAAAATAAAGGCTTTTACGCCCGCTTCTAATACTGTCTCTGCCTGCCCTAAACCTCCTCTGAAAGTTTCTGCTCAGAAGTGGCAGAGCGCAGAATCTGTGAGCTCCACGAAAGTTTCCGGCTTCGTAGTCCCGCCTCTACCCACCACTGAAATGCGGCAGCAGCAGCTCAAAGAACAACAAATGGAAGCTATGATGAGGAACAGATCCAAGTGGGGCACCGTGGCAGCACCCAATCGGCTGATGGGATCTGGAGTGTCAGTGGCGCCTGACTCTCATGCCGCGCACTTCCAGCCCCCTTCTGTATCGCGGTGGGGCAGCGCGCCAGACAACACCGTGTGTCCTCAACTTCCTACTCAAGCTGACCGCTTCAATAAAGTTGCATCTGCATCCAACAGCCGTCATTCTTCGATGAGCTCCTTGCCGTCCTCAGGCACCGCCACCCCACCTAATCAACTGAGAACTTCGGCGTTCGGTGCAGGTGCGTCGAGTGAACAGGAATCGAGTGATCATTCAGCGTCGCAGAGCAAGGTAAGGCGTGTGTGGGAGAACGCCGTGAGCTCTGCTGGCCAGACTCCCACGTCAAACAAACCTTGGAAAAAAGGCAAAGTTGCTGACGAGGGCGGTCAGTTGGTCAAGAAAGTTTTGAAGGAAATCGGTAACGATGATTCTTCTAGCCGAGAAGCGTTGAAAAAGCTCCTAAATAAAGAGAAATCTAAAAATAAGGTTAATGCTCGAGCAATTGGTAAAATTAACGCGGGTGGGAATACTCTGGAAGAGCAAGCTTACAAGGGTCAGAAACAGAACAAGCATTTTCAATCACAATCTACGCGTAAGATAATTAGTCAGAAATGGGAAAAATTAGCGGAATGCGCGCAACTTTCTCCGATCGAAGAGGCTCCAAAATTTTGGGATTCGGGAAGACGATCGAGTCTTAATTCTCCTATATGCTCCAAGGCAGCACAAAAATTCAATTGTCAGAAAGTAACTTCTCCTTCCTCTAAAACTCCAAACTCAAAGAAAAATGGAGTAGCTGGGTTTCGAAAACCTTCCTTCGCTGTTGCTCAGAAACTTGTTAATAAAAACGTGTCCGCTTTTGAGACAGGGAAAAATAGGAACGGCAAATCCATTGGAAATTTTACCGTATGTCATTCGAAATTTGAAGCAAGCGTTGATGGAGCTTCACCCAAGGTTCTAAAAACATCCATTCCCTGGAGCGGGGATGTGCTAGGCTCAGTGAAGGTAAAACAAGCCGTCACTGAATTAGAAACGAATCCAGCTGATAGTCCAGATTTGGTGCCCTGCATCAGCCGCTCTAAATCTGGAAACGTCCATGCTACACTCAAGAATTTCAATGTCCAGCCGTCGGCCCGACCCTCACCACCTCGTGGCTTGTCTCGATCTAAGTCAGGCAACATTCGCTCGGTAGTGAAGCAGTTCGAGCAAGATAAGGAAAAGACGAGTTCGGTGAGCCTTACTCGAACCGTGGCTCGATCAAATTCTAGTGGCCTTGCAAAAAATATGAAGAAATTTGAAGTCAGTGCTGCTGCCGTACCAGGGCCGCAAATGAATAGCCTGATGCGTTCCAGGTCTGGCAACGTGCGTGCCACATTACAGAGTTTCGAACATCCCGAACACTCAAACAGCCAGCCAACAAATTATGGATTATCTAGATCCAGGTCTGGCAACATACGAAGCACTATTAAGAACTTTGAAGTAGAATCCACAAAAAAGCCTATCTTGGCCGAATTTCCCGTCAAAATCACTCGATCGAAATCAGATGTGTTTAACAAAGGGCTTGCTGCCCTTTTCGAACGCGATAACGTTAGTACGAGTGTGGAAAAAAGTTCTAAAACACTTCCGTGTCCTGCAGGTAAAGTGAAGAAAGATTTAGAAAAGTTTGAGAAGCTTGCCTCGTTCACCGATGAAACTCATTTACCTGAAAAAAGAGAGCGACGTATCTCAAATCCGATTACATCGAATCGCATGTCGCAGCTCATCGAGCTGACCGAATCTAGAGAAGGAATCATCCAAGACGCAAAGTTGTGTATGCCGATTGATGGTACTGGTCGAAAGGGCGTGTCAAGGCCCACGAGCTTAGAATTTTACCAGGATACGAACACAAGTGATAATACGTTATCCTCTTCTTCTTCTTCCAAGCTCATACCTTGGGGCAAATCAGCAGTTAAGAAAATTGGCCCGATTGCGCAATCGGTGCGACCGACATACGCCCCTAACCAGTACGAGGCCGTTATTATGCCCGACATTGCCGAGCAGAAGAAAGAGAAAATTGCCGCGTTTTTCCAACAATCGAGTGCCGAAATCGCGCAAAGAATGAGGAGATCTCAGTTTTCGAGAGAGCGTTCTATCGATTTGTCTGGTAATGTATTGGAAGATTTTGACGATCTCGTGTCCAACGCTGATTTATCTGACGATAAGTTAGACCGTCTGTTCACTGAAACTCTTTTAGACAGCGATACTGAAGCAGGTTCAAGCGTTAGAGAAAAACGACGCTACTCCGGCGGCTCATTCGAAGTAGGAGTTGTAACGAGTAAAGTCTTTCCCGCGCCGCAAATGGGGGTCATAAAACGCTCGAAAACATTCAAAGGTTCGTTTAGTAGCGCTACCGAACGCAATTCGTTTCCGGTGTCCGATGCGTCGCGCGGTGACAGCAGCCTCGCGAGTAACGATCCGTATAGCCGCTTAAGAGAGAACATCGCAATTGCTAAGGAATACTTAGGTATGTTCGAACACTCAGACTCGAGTTCATCTCAGAGTGAACACTCGTACTCATCGCCAGCGTCTCATCTCAATGTTGAGGGGGATCGTGATAGCAATGAAGTGTCGGATGAAACACCTAGTACCGCACGCTCTTATTTCACTGCCCTACGACGGAGTCGATCTCGAACCCCACGCATTAAACGTAGAATAAGGAAAAGAAAATCTAAAAAATATGACAGTCCCACCTTGCTAGAGAAATGTCTGCCAGAAGACGAGTTTTGGAGTGATGACAGCGACACGACTTGCGTGGTTGCCTCCGAAGACATGCCGGTGCCGTTCATTGTACCTCGGATAAAAGTGACCGACACTAACCCTGGCAAAGTATGTATCCCAGAAAACAACATCTGCCCGCAGCAACAAGAACTCAGCAGTTTGGGCAAAGAATTACTTATTGTGAAGTCACTGCCTATCGAAAAAACTCGAGAAGCCAACGCTACGAGATTCACCGAAATTATGAAAGAATTCTTCAACCCGTCTTCAGATAGCTTTATGTCACGTGCCAGGTTTTCTTCTAGATCTCCTCAGCCAGACGTTAGCAGGACACGATCTTTAGAGACCTACATGCGCGTGCCACTTGGGCCTTCTAAAGTTTTTCCTTCAGATACTACGTGTGAGGAGTCAAGCGACGCGCAAAACTTCAACAAAAGTTCGTCATTGCCTTTCTTGGCTGATGATAATCTGTCAACTTCTACCGAATTGCCTATTGGCTATGAAAGAACTGGCTGTCTTTGCTCCACCGACTCGCACTTCTCAGATCTTCCTGACATTGTCCAGAGCTGCTACTACTCTTCAAGCTCTGAAACAAGCTGCTCTTGAGGCTAGCAAAAATATTCTGTATTAGATCTTCATCTTCATCAAATATATGTGATAACTTTTAAAATTCGAAACACGACACTTCACATTGTAGATGAATCATAACCGACAAATAGACCCTGCGGTCTCACTCTGACTCGAACGAGACGCCGAATAATCCGATCATGTCTGCTGATTACCCCTCAACTTGCGACAAACGCTTGCGATGGTACGATTCATTTTACGTGAACAATATCATTATAAAGGGAATATACTTGACTAATGACCATGATAATGGATATAACCAACCACCACTGTCATAAATGTGGCTTATGACGCCGCAGACGTATCGCTTTGAGTGCGTTTCCTCTAAGTTGCATTTTTTCTCTCTTAGCGCTATGACGCGGAGTTAAGGCTCCTCTTTCGTCTCGTGTTGTCTTCTAGTTTTATTTTGTGGCTTCATGGCGAGCTTATACAGGTAAGACGGCCTTGTGTGTGTGTGTGTGTGTGTGTGTGTGTGTGTGTGTTGTCGTGCACTAATTTCATCGAGCGGGATTGCATTAATAGATTGTAAACCCGTAGATTCTTCTTTGAACGAACCAATGGACGAATTATTTAAAGTAATTACAAAAAAGCTAATATTTAATTGGATAAAATTAAACATGAACTGACAGTGCTGACTTTACTGCAGTCAACGCTCTTCTGTCAACTTCAGTCAACCCTCAACCCTGTCAACTGTCTCTTCGCAACTGACAATTTCTCTTGATGAAATTGATGTGCTGGCATTCTCCTATGTAATTACCTCTCATGAATACTTCACCGTACGACCTCTCAATGGCGAATAAAGGCTGAAATGAAAGTAACTAGTGTTATATAATCAATATAACTCATCGCGTAGATGAGCGTTTGCAGTCAAATAAAGCTTCTCTATTCATTTATTCACTTTAGAGGTTTGGGCGTTGAATTGAAGTAGAGTTGACGACACGGTAACGACTGCAGGTTTTCAACCTACTGTACGTGTAGTTAAATAATGTTGCTGTGGCTGAACATCTGCCTACAGCTGTGTATTGATGGCACATTATATGTTGCAATTTAAATTACTTTACTATTTTAAAAGAGGAATCATGCCCTTCAGCCTGCATTCTGAAGGCTTATGATGATCTAACCATTTGTTAACCCGCCTTTATTGCTGTCGTCTCTTGTCTAGACGTGGTTACTACGTTTTGTCGCTTGTCTGCTAACTGCTCCTTTGTCATCTTTTAACCCGTGCTTCTTGTGTAAGGAGACATTAATTTAATGATTCTGATAACCTAGCGATTTAATGATTGCTTTTGTATTCTTAATGTTTGTTTTTATATTTGTTTCTTAGCGATCACTATGATTGTTTATTGAGCATTTAGATTTCCAATAAATTCTATGATGTTCATTGATATTATTAATGATTTTCACGATTGTTGTGTGATATAAATGACTATTTAATTTCAAATTTTCACGGAATTAATTGAGAAACAATTTGCTGTCATTTTCTAACATCATTGTGCAACATTGAGCTAGTAGACATTTCAATGGCGCTGTACTCGAGTTTTCCGTTACCCTGTATAGCCGCTGACCTATTTTGCTGTGTGCGTTCAAATTTTCTTTATTTATTATTTTTTCTTATTAGTCGTTGTGTTATAGAGTGGGCATTTTTTTGCGTTTTACTGTTTTATGTGTGATGAGTTAACTCTCATTTTGCTGCAAATTTTCTGAACTCAATAGAAGATTGTATTCGTCAATGCGTGCTCTAAGTCTCATGAGAGAAATTTAGTGAATAAAAAGTTGTTCTTCAAACGATTAATTAATATTTGGTGCCATGGACGTCTCTAGCCTGCGAACAGTTTGTCCTACCCATTACCTTGTGTCCCGAATTATTTGTCAAGCAAAGAACAAAATTAACTCAGCAAATCTTTTTCGTACGCTGATGATATCTTTTTTTTTAAATTGTGATGGACAAATACAAATAACGAACGCACCCTCATTTATATCAATAACTATAGCTGAGAAAACCTTTCTCAACTTTCCGTCGTACCCTTGTTGCATTTTCAAGGATTTAATATATTGTTTATTCATATATAATTATTCATTCATATAAATGTTGAATTTCCGAGGTCTTCGACGACATGCAGTCTTCGTTACCTTGAGATCAGACTTGAGAAAGACCGCCGAAATTAAGCTTCGCATTACCGGAGACATTAATTATTATTATTTTTTTTGTATTATTGTTAATAATTTTGCAATGTTAATACAGTGGACTTCGTTCGCTAGCAGCTCTGCATTTTAAATCGCAGCTTTTCGTAGGAAAATTTAATTCCGGAATATAAACCTCGGTCACCTGCTTATTAGCGAAGTTTACTGTAATAATATTATTGAAATAACCAAAAATGCACGACCCCTTCACGTCTGTTTCTCACTAGTTGTGAGATTTTCGAGGAATTATTCGTATTAACGACTGTGTGCTAGTTCACTAATGACGACGATGGTGTTGTGTTGCACAGACGTGAAGACTGTCAACTCGTGGCTACAGGACAACTTCCCTGGACACCTCAGAGACTCAGGTGAGTGCACTGACTCAGAGACTCTGGTGAGTGCACTGACTCAGTCATGATTAGAGTGGTGACTTAAGTGTGCGAATGAAACCAATATTAGAGTGGGGTGTACTGCAGCATAATCAGCAGCATTAGAGTGGGAATTTAATGCACTTCTACAGTATGAGTGCAAACCGACATTTGAGAGGTAGTATAAGCTACTCGGTTACCAGTATTAGAGTGGAAATATATAGCAGCATTAGAGTGGGCATTCAAGGCAGCGCGTCCACCAACATTAGAGTGGGCATTTACAGAATCACCGGCATCACCATTAGAGTGGGAGTGAGCGGCAGCATAGAGTGGGCGCCTGCTGGCACGGGTGCTCGCTCTGTAAACAACACCAAACGACAATCATTATTTATCTGTCCGTGACTCGGCCGAGCGCGAGCCAAAAGGCCTCGTGCTGCAAACAATTCTTGTCTTCGCACACAAACTTTTGTTCTCGCCTCACAAACTCTCCTTGCCTCACAAACTCTTCTTCTCGCCCCACGAACTCTTCTTCTCGCCCCACAAACTCTTTTTCTCGCCCCACGAACTCTTCTTCTCGCCCCACAAACTCTTTTTCTCGCCTCACAAACTCTTCTTCTCGCCCCACAAACTCTTCTTCTCGCCTCACAAACTCTTCTTCTCGCCCCACAAACTCTTCTTCTCGCCTCACAAACTTCTTCTCGCCCCACAAACTCTTCTTCTCGCCCCACAAACTCTTCTTCTCGCCCCACAAACTCTTCTTCTCGCCCCACAAACTCTTCTTCTCGCCCCACAAACTCTTCTTCTCGCCCCACAAACTCTTCTTCTCGCCCCACAAACTTTTCTTCTCGCCCCACAAATTTTTCTTCTCGCCCCACAAATTCTTCTTCTCGCCCCACAAACTCTTCTTCTCGCCCCACAAACTCTTCTTCTCGCCCACAACTCTTCTGCTTGCCCCACAAACTCTTCTTCTCGTCCCACAAACTCTTCTCGCCCCACAAACTCTTCTTCTCGCCCCACAAACTCTTCTTCTCGCCTCACAAACTTTCTTCTCGCCTCACAAACTTTTCTTCTTGCCCCAAAAACTCTCCTTCTCGCCCCACAAACTCTTCTTCTCGCCCCACTCCCCTC